ATACAAAAGACCTACTGAACTGTGATCTCAGGAACACACATTCACAGCAATCATCAGGTTCCCAGTGTGTCGCACTTAAAACAGTCCTGACAGAAACAGTCCTTGTCAATTTACCTGCCACCTCTCTCATTGGAAGATTGTCATTGTGCTCATAACCTGCTAGAAATAATGTCATGGATTTTATCAATATGTTTATCAATAACCCATTTCCCTGTAGTTGGAAAGAAAAAGGAGATAATAAACAGCAAGTCAAACAGTTATAACTGTGGCATAATGTGTGTGTGTGTGTGTGTGTGTGTGTGTGTGTGTGTGTGTGTGTGTGTGTGTGTGTGTGTGTGTGTGTGTGTCATGCAGACATAGAGCAATACATTAACATTCAGCTGATTTAGTCCATGATCAAGAATTAATAAACATAAATTTTTCCATAACAAATCATTTTGTCATATCACTCACACTTAAATGTAGTCAAACATGTTCACGAATTTCTTTGCACAAAATTTGTCTCGCATAACAATTTCAGCAGTTTTATTCTTGACTTTTTCAGTACCTTCCAGACTGAGTCATGTCAGGGTTCTGTCACAAAACAAGCTGTTGCTGGCCACGCCCACCCAACCCTGAAACCAAACTGACAGAAACTGGCGGGACTTTTTTTTCTTTCACATTTGGAATGTTTATAGAGAAAGTAGAGACCCACATGACAGCACAAAGGATGCAAAAAGTGTGATTTGGTCTGCTTCAACAGTCACCTGTGACATGTGCGCATCTACTCATTGAATTTTGCCTCTTTACCTGCTTGACCTTTATGACATTGTGGCACAGAAACCTTAATTGGACCTGAGTTTGTGTGAAGAATACAATGCCATAGATTTTGTCTCTGCAGACGCAGCCGGAGAGTTCTGGTAATGCCTGTCAGCCCCAGTCTTCATCACCCGCTGAACATCCCTGCACCTGCAGAGATGTCGGCGTGTCCTTTTTGTTTTGTTTGCATGTCTTTTCTCTGCTGCCTAATGCACTCTGGAGAGGCAATGGAGGCCCACAGTGCAGTGCAAGTGGTGCATGGGTCTAGTGGGAGGTGTTAGTTTTCTCCACACAGAGCAGAAAGACAGAATTACAAAGCTGGGTTGTGGATATATGGGCTCCCTCTTTAGATGTGAATCTCTGTGTCAAAACAAATCTTTTTGGGAAAGTAGATGAGGGCATGGCCAAAAGAATGTAGACCTGAAATCAGCACAGGGCACGTAAACGATGTGGGAAACTATTACAGGCTTCTAACTGTTGCCGTACAGGCAAAGGACAAGCACCCTGAGAGTAAGGTGAGACCTTGTGGTGCACTCATGTGGCAGTAAACAAATAGTTGAAATAGTCTTTTATCACTAAGCCATTACTTTTTTTTCCCTCTCTGAAACATAAAGCTGGATAGGTCTTACTATCAGAGAAAAACTAATCTTTCTCTCTGGATACTTGCCAAAGTCTGAGGTCCCCAAGGAGATCTTGAAGGACTTTCTGCCTGTAATGTCTAGTGTTTCTCAGACAGGGACTAGCATCGAGTCCAACACCCGCTCAAATCTGATTTATAATGTTCAGAGAGAAAAGCATGGAAATCTCTAATAGCTTTGCTCACATCTGAGCGATGGCTGCACCAACTGTTCCAGCTAAGCTCCTCCTCAGACACGAGTTTCAGGAAAATGCCAGTTTTGCTGCCATGTTGACTTTGGAACAGGACAAGAGAGAAAGGAAGGAGACAGACTTCCAAGACGGTCGGCGTTGCTGTCTGCTGAAGGTGGGAGGTTTCCATTGGGCTGTCACCAAGCACGCTTATAACCGAGTGGTCACCAGACTTTTTAAGGGACTGTAACAATGGCTGCATGGTTTATTTGAATGTTTCAGTGTCCGGGTTTCACCAGATGCCTGTTAAAATCTTCATTTTTCATTTGCAATGATGAGAATGATGTTCTGGTTGCTCTACCAGATCATCAAGTGAATTCTATCTGATATCGTTGTCCCATCCATTCACATTCTTGGTTTCAACTCATTTGAAGTATGTGTGTGGGTTTTATTTTACTTAAAAGATGCAGAAATGCACTTCTACCTTCTTTAATCTTAGATAAGCAAAATCTATAGACAGCAGTCAGAGAAATTAGAGCTGGATGTTTGTGATGTTAAGCAGATGCTCTTTCCCCTCCGTCACAGATCTGCTTTATATCAGGAGTCCTGCTGTTGGAACTAATAGCAAAAGTGATTAAATTTTAGTCAAAAGTGGCCTGGAGCAGGATGTTGCTGCAACAATAAGTCGTGCTGTGAGGCCGGTGTCACATTTGTATTTCGGTAATGTTGGTAACTGATCACTGTGAGAAATCAGTTCTCTGATGTTTCACGCTAGATTTTTGTAATGTAGTTATGAATTTTTAAAAAGTCATTTTATTTATTAAAGGTGTGAAACGCTGAAAACCCGTTTTCTAAAATAGTCTGCTACACCGATCTCCAGCATCAGCTTCTGTTAGAATATAGACGGTGAAACTCTAGGATGTGAAACGCCTGACAGATCTACATCACACTGTCACTTAACATTCATGGACTCACCCATAGGGTGACTCATGACAGAGAAGACTGTTGTTGGTTTAGCGTCCAGTCGTGGCTAGTAGAACCTTACCATTAGCTTTAGCAACTCCACCCTACGGCAGAACTCCTCCAGGCTAATGTCTTTTGTGGAGGTAAAACATCCATGTTGCAGAGCAAACAAACTCAGAAGTAGAGTCTCGTTGGTGTTAGCCAATCAGAGGCTATGAATCTCAACTCTGATGTGGCTCCTTGGGCGGTGCCAGGCAGTAGCTTGGGCAGCTTAGCACCCCCACCCCACCCCCTGTTATGCTGATGCGCACCAGAGCTTTTTTCCCCCAGAGTACGATTTACAAGGCAATCATTCTTACTAGAGACCACTACAAATGTATTGATTAAACAAGTGAACCACATCTGTAATACAGGGGCGCCTCCAGAAAATTTTGATAGGGGTGGCCATATGGGGGCAAAGAAATTTTTGGGGTGGCACACCAAATTGGTCCTTGTGGTAACTCTGGGAGAGTTTAGCCTGTGGTGATGTGCATTGCTCCTTTATTCGTTTGTATTTAAAAAATAAAAATAAAAAAACAGTACGTATCCAAAACATTTAACTTAAATTTTACAAACACAAATATTTCAGAAAAATACATTTCAATTATTTAAAATGTAAATCCAAATTTAATTTAGAAATGTATTTTTTTTTACGTTTATTCACCTGTGTTGCTGTGTTCACAAAAAAAACTATGGAGATAAAAACTTTTTTAAAATGTGAGCAGCAGAAACATATGTATTTTTTTTTATTCTGATTATTTCTTTTCTCATTAATTGTATTATTTTTATTTTGTTTTACAATTATGTCTTGAATAAACAAGATCAATATATGGCTTGACTGAACATTAGGATGATTTATTAACACTGGATTTTCCTTGGGGGGGATTTTCTAGGGGTGGCCATGGCCACCCCTTGGGGGCGCCCTTGCTGTACTAGAAAGAAAAATCAGTCAAAACCTGAAAAAGAAAAGAATAAATAAGTAATCATATTCATTTTTGTCATTTGTCTATAATGCCTACAATTACAGGCAGTTAGTTTTAAAGATGTGAGCCAAAATGGCTTTAAGTGACAGAGCCCAGAAATGGCTCATTCTGGAAGGTTCTGAAAATGTCTATAATAGAACTCTGAAATTGCTTTATTTAAGAGGGATTCTGTGCAAAGTAGTAAAAAAAAGAGTTTTGTACCAACCATAAAACTATTAAAACTGTAAGTGAGAATTTGTCTCCTTTTAAGTAGGTGGTGGTTTCTAGATTTATTTAACATCAAATCTGTAAAAGAAAAACTTGGTTAATACAAATGAAAATAATTTTACTTGAAAGCTTTTGATTAACTATGATTTCTGTTTGTCCTCTCATTGGTTAACATCTTAAACTGAACAACAGGATGCACAAGACCAAGACACGCTACATAAAAATAAATATTTGGACAGTAACATCTTCAAGGGGAATTAAGATTTTAGCATTTTCTGAAAACTCTCTCCTGTTGCTATAGTAACTCATACCAGTGTTGTAATAGGCTGGACATGTAAATCTGTCGGGGTGATTCAGACCCTCTTGAATTGTTGTCACAGTGGCTGTGACCCCTGCTGACCTCTGCGTGAGGTTTTCCTTCCGCCTCTGCTGAGATCCACTGACAAGGCTTCCCGTCACCACATGGACTAAAACAGAAGCCTGTGGTGCATTTAAATGCCAATGTGAAACAGATGTGGTCACTGAATGCCTTTGGCTGTTTTCAAAGCTGAAATCAGAGAAGTGAGTACGTGACCTGGTGGCCATTGCTGCTGTAATAAATGATCAAATGAGATATTTCTATATGATGGTATTATGACACAGAATTACCGTGAGAGAGGGACGAGGATTTTTCCCACCATTCTTGTGGTTTTTAAGGATGCTTTTTGACTTGAGGTGGAACGAGACGGGCTCAGAAAAACTGACAGGAAGCAAAAACCTCAGGAAAGTGAGGTTAGATGGTGGCACAATAAAAAGCTGCAGTTCCAGACTGGCTGTGTATTTTCTACTCCTTCTGTGGTCCTCGTCATGGGAACCATCATTAAATGTCTGCTGGAAACAGAGCTTCGCTGAACCACCAACAGGAGCTAGGATTGGTTTGAAGTGAGAATTAAGGGATTATGGTTAAAATTGCAAACTTCCTCACCCACCAACACAGTCACAAATGGCTTTAAAAAGGCACTTGTGTGTTTTGTGGGCGTGTTTAACAGCTGGAGACTGTTCTCTGCAGAAATCTGTATGGATGAAAAAAAGCACCTTAGCACCCTCTTGTGAAACTGTTGTGCATCACAAATCAGCTCCATTTCTGTTTGTCATTTTGTATTTCCACACAAACGTGTTTTATTAATGAAAGGTATTTACAGTGTTTGCCTGTTTTGTGTGTAG